GTACACTGCAGAACCTGCAAACATCAACAAATACATTTTTTAAAAAGTAGGCCCTGCCAATGGCGCCCTCCAACTACCCAAAAGAGCATTGAAAAACAATGCAGCCAGACAGCCAGCCAGCCAGACAGAAGCAACAAAGAGAAACAAAGAAGTATGTCCTGATTGTGGCATCCTCCAACCACCCGTTGTTTAGGGGCAGCTCGATTGCAACAAAAACACTAGGGCCTGTGAAATCTGAGAGATAGCGGCGTACCGACTGTCACAAACAGGTGAAGATAAAAGGTACGATATCTGTGACTGAAAAACATACGTACACATTAAGGTAGAGTCTATGTTCTCTCACGTTTGGGAACGTATACAAGCTGTCTACGTTCTCTAATGTTGGTAGACAACCTAAAAATAGCTCGCTCACTCTGTCTAACATGGAAACGAGCCGACAATGCTTACACTTTATTTTCGCAAACTATTTACTTTTGCAAAAGAGTTCTTTCTCGCGAAATTAAAACGCGCGTGAAAATACAGCTGTCTGTCTTCAGTACCGTATCTTGCCTCTACAGCGACGTTAAACCCCTAAACCTAACAACTAACCAACACATTCTCTCATCCTATCGAGATTGCACACAGGATGTATTACATTGTTTTCTAAATTCAAAAGAGGGCTCAAGAACTGATACTATTAAGATAAAAAAAAAACTCTGGACCGTACGAGATAATCAGACATTAACCATCACAGTACCGTGGATCCCTATCTGTCCATCTAGTGAGTCAGAAACGAGGAACTGAGAGAACGGTTTTTAAAAATCAATTAAGATTGTATATATTTTTAAGGACCCATTTTTTAAAAACCACACACGAGAGAAATTCCCGTCCTTCCTGTTCGTGTACAATCGGTGACAATTCCACGCTGCGGAAGATGTTCTATACCTGATATTCTGTGAATGTTGAGGAGATAGAAACCAAGATTTGTTCTACTTGATCTTCTGAATGATGCGGAGATAGGAACCAAGATTTGTTCTACATGATATTCAGAATGATGAAGAGATAAGGAACCAAGAATTGGTCGCACCCCCCACCTTTCGTGTGTGAGGATTGACTTGTTAACATTATGGGACACTCGGCCCCGTGTTGGATATTTGAGGCCTTTTTGTGTCTACTTTTGGTCGGGGGAGCCTGTTCCCAGGTCGTGGTGGACAATGGCGAGGAGTCTGTGACTGACCCCTCTGACGTCAGTACTGTGACGTCATCGGGCGTGCCGGGAGGGGTTGAGGTGACGACTGCCAGAAGTTCGGTGGAGGAGAATTCGACGACGGGTAGGATTGTGTTTTTTGTTTTGTTTTGTTTTTGTTTTTGTGCTGGTTGTGGTGGTGGTTGTGGTGAATGATGATGATGATGATGATGATGATGATGATGATGATGATGATGATGATGATGATGATGATGATGATGATTGTGGTGGTAGTAGTGGTGATGATGGTTATGGTGGATGATGATGGTGGTGATGATGATGGTGATGGTGGTGGTGATGGCGGTGGTCATTGAACATTGTGATGGTGATGGTGGTGGTGGTGGTGATGGTGATAATGATGGTTA